GAAATCCCAGCCAGCCAGCTTTTCCTTCAGCTTGGAAGAGAGTTCCGTTGCCTCAGCTGAGCAGCAGAGGAAACCGCTGGCATTTAGGGCCATACTGGACCAGAAAAACCTATCTTTGAGTGTGAGAAGATGCCTGTGTGATATGAGGCCAGGAAAGGGCTGTCACACACGTTCCCACGTCACACTCACGCCAGGCACCACATGTCACTGAGTGGAGGGCAGGAGACCCATCTGCTGCACTGCATCACTATGGACATTTCTCTCTCTCTCCCTGCTGAGCTTGTGCAGTTGACTTTGTGTAAATTAAATGGGTGCTCCAGGAATCGCCACCTTAATACCAGCCTCTCATCGTGCTGCCACCTTCGGCTGTCACTCCTGAATTCCTGATCCACAGAAACTGTGAGATAATAAATGTGGTTTTAGGCAGCTAAATTTTGGGATAATTTGTTATGCAGAATACAAATTCAGAATACTAATACAAGCGGGTAGCTGGAGAGGCAGGCTAAGGAACATGGACTTGATCTAGCAGGGCAAGTTTTCCAGTGGGGAGTGATGGGATCAGGTCTGTCTTTTAGAAAAGCACCCCCAGCAGCAGGGAAGGCTCTGTGGAAGGGGCAAGGCTGGCAAAGAGACCAGTTCACAGGCTCTGCAGTTGTCCAGGCAAAAGGACTCACATTAACATAATGTGGCAGAAACAGAGAGAAGATAGGTGCAAGAGACATTTCCCAGTAAGAATGGTCCAAGCTTATTGATCAGCTGCCTACAAATAGTTATAATAAAAGTAATAATATTATTAATGATATTGACAGCTAACATTTATTGAAAACTTAATATGTACCAAGCACTATTCTAAGCCCTTACACGTATTCACACATTTAATGCTCACAACCTTATGAGGGAGGTACTATTATCATCTCATTTTACAGATGAGGAAACTGAGGCACAGAGAGACTATGTGACCTGCCCAGTGTCACGCAGCTGGTGAACAGCAGGCCTGGGTTCAAACTTGGGCAGCTGTGCCTTCACCTTCTCACTGGATTTCCTCTGGAGGGATGAGAGAGGGACAGGGAGGGACAGGGTGGGGACAAGGGCAAGCTCTCAGACTTCTGGACAACAGAGTGCAGCCTCACCCAAAGTAGGGCCGATGACTTGAAAGAAAGACATTACTGTCACCAATCACCTACTAATTCTCTGTGTACCTCATAAGAGCTGCTTAATGGGCTCCACTGCAACCCAGCATGTGAACTGTAGAATAACATCCGGACGTGGCACCAGGCCCTACTCCTACCACACTCCAGTAAAAATAAACCTCTCTGTCCAAATATAGAGCGGTTAGAAGTGCCATGTTTTACAGGAGAAGAGGCAGTTATTTGGCATTAAAAATAGACAAGTTTTGCCTTCCCCACAGATCTGGGCAAGAGCACAGCAGTTTCCAAATGGAAACTCAGATGGATGGGGTAAGCACCCCCCGACTGAGTTAGCTATTTAAAAAGCCCAAACAACTACATCCCTGTTCTGGGCCTCAGTTTACTCATCCATAAAATGATGCATGCGTCACTTCCAGCTCCCGCCGTCTGTCACAGTGGGAACTGGAGTCCAAAGCTGGTCCTCGAGAGCCGACAGCTTCCTAAATCATGGGGGCCCTGTGGCACAGACAAGGCGAGGTGGCCCTTCGGCTCAAAGCTTACTGCTGATAGGACCAGGAGTGGTTTTGCCCAAGGACTTTCAGAATCTTGTCAAGAGCTTTAAATTACCCTTTTGAGTCAGACACATTGTTAATCCACAAAGAAATGCAAGCCAGGAAGTCCCCTACAACTAGCCTACCTCCTGAGATGCTACCTCGATTAAAAGAAACCGAAGCCCAGCTTGACACAGGGGTGTGGGGCTGTGTGGAGGGGCTGCCAGGGCACTGACGTCACTGAGGCTGCCATTGCTGGCGCCGGCGATGGGCAGGTCCCGTGCACACATTCCCTTTAATCCTGCAAGGCAGGCACAGCTGTAATCTACACACGGAAGAACCAAAGGCTCAGAGAGGTTACACAACTTGCCTAAGATCATTCAGCTGGTGGAGGCAGGAACCAGATCCAAATCCAGGTCTGGATCAAAATCCCATGTCTTTCCACCTCACGGGGCCTCTGCTGTGCTGCTTTCTGTGTGGTCAGAACAGCTGTTCTCAACTCCAAGAAAGGGAAGTCCTGGCAAAAGCCGGGAGCCAGGGTGACTCAGGCAGCTGAGAAACAAGTTAGAAGTCTCTAATTCCCTAACGGGTCCCCTTGCATTTTTACCACACCTGGAAAAAGAAAGACAAGCTTTGCTTTAAATGATTTTATTAAAAATTGTACCAATTAACAGGGGGAAGATACGCACACACACATATATGCACATGAAGAACACAAAGCGGAATATGCTGTACAGGTTAAAATAGTGGGTCCCCATTCCCCTCTCTCTCTTTCCCTGTCTCTCTCCCAGAGGCAGAGTGCCTAGGACCCAGGACAACTAACCTGGGATGAACAAAATGCTACATTCTCACTGGGTCTCCCCCGACAGCCCCTGTGGACTCAGGGATGGGGCAGCCCACTGGGCAATGCTCACAGAGCAAGGAGAGGTGCTGGCTGCCTGCGCAGAGAGAGGGGCAGTGCAGACCCAGGAGCCTGCACGGGCTCCGAGCGCCTTCAGCCGGTGAGGCTGGCACATCTATGGAGGAGCTCAGCTTTCTTTGCTGTTCCCTCAAGGCTCAAAGTCCTCACCAGCCCTGGGGTGCCTACTGCCCACAGTGTCCCCCGGAGGCTTCACAGGCTGATAGGTTAACCCCTCCCTGGAAGGAGTCCAGCCAGGGTGGCCTCCCACCAAGGGTCCTGGCCAACACACAGAGGGAGGCAGCAGCTTCCTCCAGCCCAGGCTGCAGCACTGATTCCAAGAGGCCCTGCAGAGTCGCGCAGGAGAAGTCTTCCTGCTTCTAGTACTCTCCACTCTCCCTCTTCATGAAGTCTCCCAAAAGAGATGAGCTCCCCCGGGGCAGCGGGCTCCTTCCCGGGAGACTTCAGGCAGCTGGAAGCCCTGGCTGCAACATCCCAAACAACCCCCTCCTTCCAAACCCAGGCCGGAGCCACCCTCGGACAGGGATGGGCCGCTGAGGACGGTGAGACAAGTCAGCTGGGCTCTCTGAGCACTCGGAACATGCTGCCACATAAGCTCTGGACACAGACCCCTCCCCTAGGGGTTCCAGGAGGTCACTGGGAGGTGATCTTTTTCTGCCTCCGATTGAGCAAGAGAAGGCCACCAGGCCAGCTCTCCAGCAGCCCAGACTTAGAAGCAGGCAAAGGCAGTGAGGCCAGGCAAGGCCTCCAACCCGCTGGGCGAGTCGGATGTCTGGCCTGGGGGGGTTCCCTCCTGTTCTGTCTACCTGTCTACCGGCTTCCAGAAACCCCTACCGTGGGGTTCTGAATTAGGAGGACTGTGTTGACCCTGAATATCAGGCTTCCTTTTCCCCTAGGCCATTTCTACAGCAGGGAGGGAGGCTTCTAGTCCCTCTCCCAACACCCACCCTCAGCAAATCACAAAAGCTCCACGGTTATAGGTCAGGACCCAGGTCAGACTCTCCCTCCCTCCAAGTCTGACTCTCCATCCCTCTCTAGAGCCAGCCAAGCTCCTGGGCATGGGGGAGGGGAGAGGGGGCCCAGGGGGAGCGATGTGTCTCCTGAGGCTGGACTTGAAGAATGTTCAGACCAACTCACCAGGCAGAGGGGGAAGGGGCCAGTCTAGCTTGCTAGGCCAATTAAAAACAGCCAGCCAGGAGGAACCTCTCTCCCTCCTGGGGCTATTCTGCCAGTTACCTCCTGGGGTATTTTTTGGGAGGGGGAAGGAAGGGAGTTTTAAATTTTGCCCTGGCTTGCTTAGGATAGTGAGTTCCCAGCTTCACATAAGATGGGGACAGTGCAGTCAGACCCTTTTCCCCTGGGCCCCAGGCTTGATGTTCAGGTGGGCTTGTCAAACTCTGGGCTCAGTTCTTAGGACAGGACACAGGGCATCCCGCCCGGGCCTGGCAAGGTCTCTGAAGCTGATGGCTTTGCCTCAGCACCCAAGCCTAGACCATTTATTTGCTCTCACTCAATTCAGGTGGAAAGTCTGCCAAGAGGGTTTGAAAGTGGCTGGTAGAAATAATCCTGGTTTTCTTGTGTGTGCCACTAAAGCACACAGCAGCAGCCTGCCGGTCACAGCCTTGGTCCAGGAGAAGGGAAAACAACACATGTCCTATACACATCATAGAATGGTACAGAGACACACAGGAAAGGCTGGATTTCACAATGGTCAGCGTGTCCAGAGCCAGTCTTCAGGCCTGTTCCCTGGGCTCCTTCTTGTAAGCAGGAACCCATCTTCTTAGCAGACGAACCATGGTACACACCCTGAGAATAAAATTTTGGCTAAAAAGAGGTAATACCTCCAGAACATCCAAGCAGAACAAAACAAAGGCTTATGCACAGCTTGTGTTCCTTCTCCTCAGAGCCCATACGGCACCTTCGTGCAAATTAGGAAAGGCACTCCTTCCTCTGGGCACACACAGTCCTACATTAGGGCATACAGCTTAGTGAGCAGAGCACAGGCTGGATTTTAGCCTTCATTGTCTTCCTCTGCAGGTGCCCTTGTGCAGTGAACAACCTGCCCAACTGTACATCCAGATGATCAACGCTTCCTTCCACAGTACTGAAGACCTCCTCTCGGCAGAACTGGAGGAGCATGGGCTTATTCAGATGTGAGAGTTTACTCTGGACTCCTCCAATTTCCTTGGGTAGCCCTGGGGTCTTCTCTGCCCATGGAAGCCATCTTTTCTTTGGGCCTTGCTTCACCATTAGCACCAATGTTATCTTTTCTTACATATGTAAAAATTATAATTTAATTTCTAGGTGTCTGGTTAATGGATTCCCTGTGTCTTTTCAGATTCCCTGTGTCTGCGATCAGAGCTGCCAGGCTGGCTGCTTTAAATTCTCTCCATTAGTGCCACAGCAGGGAGAGAAAGGAAGAAGTTCAGAGGCAGCTGTGATCCTGCTGACTTCCAGAGCACGCCCTTCTGGCCTAGCTGGAAGTTGAAGGAAGACAGGAAATGTGTACCCAGCTTTGACGGTTCCACACTCTAATCACTGTCTATTACTCTAAAAGACACATTTTAGCTGACAAAGCCACTGTGCTGGCTTCTTCCTGTATCCCACTAGGTGTGAAAAAGGAATGGGGAGAAAGGGGAGGAGGTATGTTGTTTCCAAGGAAACCAAGATGTCTGGGTTCCTCTAGGGCTGTCTCTTATAGGTGGGATGGCTGCCACACTTTCCAGTCCCACCTCAATCTTGCCCCTTCAAGCCCCAGAGTGCTGATATTGGGGGTAAAATGCAGTCCGTTGGCTGGGTCTTTAGAGAGAGGAGCTGAAAAAGGCACAAACTGCTGGCTACAGCATGTTGACTGGCTATTTGGCTCATCCATAGTTGACACCCAGCCAGTCCCAGGCAGCCAGAGGTGGCAGTGGTTCCACACCTCAGGACCAATCCTGGGGCCTCCAAGTGGGACCAAGTCAGATTTGAGGCCTACCCAGAAGTTTGGTTCATTTATGGCATGTTTGAGGGGGTCCTTGGAGAAACCCAATCCTCCCTGAGGTCTGCTGGAGATGACAGGGGCTGAGCAAGAATCCCTGAGCCCGTGGGGTGGCACTGGCTGGCCCAGATGAGAACCCAGAGACAGGCTGACTGGCCTAGTGAAGTAGCCGTGCTCAGCTGGAAAGCCCCTGGCCGAGGCCCTGGTGGGTTAAAGCAGGGGGACGGTCTGGATCTTGGCCCCAACCACAGTGGAAGGCTGATAGGTTTGGTGGAACCAGGAGTCTAATCCAGTCTCCTATTTCTTAACCGAGTTCCTGTGGGAAAACTACAGTCCACTTGCTGGAGAACATCACTACCCGGTCATCTTCAACAACTGCTGACTGAAGAATCTACTTGTCAGAGCCCTTGGAGGTCCCACCATCACAGACACATCAGCCTCTACTTCAACAGTGTTTGACAAAGGGCCCATTCCTGGTCGAGGCCCTCAACAGGGAAAGAAGTCCCACTTGGGTATGTCTTATGTACAGAGATACATTTTTAAAATAATAACACAAAACAACTTCACAAGACAGTGTCCATCCTTGCAATGTCCTTCCTGTGGTGCCCCATGTGAAGAGGGCAGCCCAGCCTCACCTGGGACCCGCCCCGTTCCTGTTCTCGTCTCCGTTCAAAGCAAGGTTGTGTAGGAAGAGGAGGATCTGCCACCACACACGATTTCGGTTCTGCTGGTGCTGAAAGGAAAAAAAATCAACGTAACTCCTAAATGCAGCCTTAGATGACTCCTTATCATTTCCAATAAAAGCTCAGATGGACATGTCTCAGGGTGGCGGCCCTTTAATCCTATCAGTCCAGCAAACTGGGGGGGAGGTGGGGGAGGGACCAGAGAAGCGGCGATGATGGGGAGATAGTTGAGTTCTCCAAAAACAACTGCAGTTTGAACATTAAAAAGAAAAGACCAGGCTCTTTATGCCCTGTGCACAAGAGGATTAAACTTTTTCCCCTGCTTGCAGGATTTTCCAGAGTTTAGCCAAGTGCTGCTTTTAATCAGATTGGCTCCTGAGCCCCTCAAACCTCAGCTGCATGAACAACAAACTTTCTTCAGAAAGAAAGAGAAGAAGTGCCCCCCTCTCTCCCCCGACTCCAAAGTAACACAGAGAACAAGGGGGAAAGGGGGAGGCTCCATCTGCAAGTGATTTGACACTGTGAAGGTCAAAGGGTTAATCTTCAATTTAAACCACACTGCTGAGGCAGCAAAAATCTGATTTCATCCAGTGCAAACACGCACACTCACAGACACACACACACACACACACACACACACTTGTGCACCCGCCCTCTCTCCCTTCCCAGCATCTCCAGCTCAGTGCTGCCCTTTTTATAGCTGCTCTTGACAGTAAGCCATAAATAATCCCTCTTGGAGCGCTTTTCTACTGACTGGAGCCAATTAAACGTTAAGCAAGAACATACTTGAAAACAAAACAAAAACAAAGAATGCACACTACTCTCTGGAGGTTATCCCGGGTCCTACTGTCAGGCAGGGAAGCTGGGGGCAAAGTTGAGGGGTCAGTGGCTCCCAGGATTGTGGCTGGTACCCCGCCCACACAGGTACCATGTCCCAGGGGCCACGAGAGCCCCCGAGGGGACTGGGGGGCGCTGGAGAGGCAGTCTTTGTCCTCTCTTTGTCTGCCAGGGCAGGAGGACTGGGCTGGGGCCCTCTCCACAGGGCTCTCAGTGGACACAGGAATAAAAAACTAGTGTGCAGAAAGGAGCCAGCACGGGCCGGACTTGGATGACTGCAGTGGCCCAGACAGCCAGCAAGTTTATGTGAAGTGTCTGGGGAAGCCGGAGCCCTCTGTTAGGCTGTCTTTAACCACAGCGCCGGCCCCCACCAGGCAACTCCTAGTCAGAGGGGAAGAGGAGCAGGTAAGTGAGTGGCAGAACTGGCAAGCAAGCCCAGGTCTCCCAGACTCCCAGGGCTTCACAGGTATGTCTGGGCCTCGGCAACTGTGCAGGCTGCTGGGTTCCCTCTCACCTTAGGGCACGGAGAAAAGACAGGCTGACCTCAGAGACCTGCCAACCCAGGTGAACAGAATGCCCCATGTCTGTGGCAACAGCATTCATTCCTCTTTCCCCTGCAAAAGGGAGACTAGAAAACAATCCAGAAAGGTGGAGACACTGCTACTGCTAGGAGGGGCAGGGAAATCGGGTGTGCCACAGAAAAGGCCTGGCCGACTGTGGCTGGGGAGACTGATGGCTTCCTCGTGTTTTGTAAACAAAGATGAGTAAAAGGAGGAAACACACCCGGCTTAACAAAATCTGGTTAGAGTAGAGCAGCATGACAATGGACTCAGCTGCAAACCTGAAGACTCAGGCCCACGGGCAGCTGGGCAGAGCACCCCTCCCCCGGCCCCTCCCCAGCTGCTGCTCAGGACAGGTGCAAAGGTCATGTGGAACAGAAGGAGAATCCGGGAAAAGACTAATCCCTGGAGAGGCCAGTCTGCTGGAATTCCGAGTCTCCTCAGGTGCCTGTTTGAAAAGGCCAAGTAACAACAGCAGCCATGATCATAACAGTAATAGTAACATTGAGTGTGCCAGGCGCTGAGTGTTTTACATCCTTGCTTCTCCAAGTGTGGTCCATGGACCAGCAGCCTCAGCATCATCGGGAGCTTATTAGAAATGCAGACCTACTGAATCAGAATGTGCATTTTAAATAAGATCCCCAGGTCACTCTGAGACACACCCGAGTAGGAGAAGCACTGCTCTATACAAAGTAAACTCCTTGGGCCCTCTCAACAACCCTATGAGGTAGGTCTATAAATGTAGGCACAACCCCACTTTACACATGAGATCACTGAAAGAGAACTTGGCCACAGAGCTGGTAAGTGGCAGGGAGTGGACTAAATCCTGGCCCTAGAGCACCATCCTTAGCCATTATCACTATGCTCAAGCGCTGCCATACACCTTTCTTTATACCAAAGCAGGCCTTCCATCCTCCCCTTCTGTAAATCATCTCAAAACAGCTCAGTAGCTAAGGAAGGGAGATCACAAGTCTATGATTTGGGGCCTTGGCCAATTCTAACTCTATATGCCTCAGTTTCTCCCCAAATTCCCCTGATGAAGGCCACCTACTGCCTGGGTAACTTCCTGGGTCCTGAGGTCTCTGGGGATGAAACAAGGCAGCACCCTCACTCCCATCATTTGGGGGTGTTGGGGGACCCAGAAGCAGCTGTGGAGCAGGAGTGCTGTCAGCCTGGAAAGCTGAGGTCTTGCGGGGAGACAGAGGCAGGCCTCGGCTCAGGAGGCAGAGCATACAGCCCCACCCTTGGGAAGGACCCAGGCTCTGTGCCCCTGCCTGTGACAGGCCTCAGGCTCATGACTCAGCAAGGAAGGCACTCTGGGTGGTGCAAGGCTCCCTGGGCCAGGAACCAGAGGACCTGGCTGTAGGCGGGGGTCTCCCACCAGCCTGTCTGAGTCTTCACTCTCCTTATTAGTGAAATGCAGGTGTTGTATTAGATCAGTGGTTCCCAAACCTGACTGTGAAACAGAATCCACTGAGGTGCTGTTGTAAATACAGAGTCCCTGGGACCCACCCAGACCAACTGGGTCAGAATCTCCAGGGAAGGGACCCAGGAATTTGTATACTGAACAAGCTCCGCAGGGTGACATTTTTTAAATTAGAAGTAACATTTATTGCATATTTTAGTCATAAAAGTAATACCTGTTAACTGTAGAAACACTGGAAAATTCAAGAAATTATAGGAGCAAAGAAAATCACACATGATCCTATAGCCTAGAAGAAAACACTTCACGATCTGGTATTCTCTTCACTCTCTTTCAATCTCTTCCCACCAGAGTAAGGACTCGGCCGAGCCAGAGAGAAATCCTGCCATGGTGGTTCGAGGCAGCCAGGCCACAGACAGGCATTTGGAAACCACTGAGGTGCTTTCCAACCCTAAGGTTTGGTGATTCGGAGTTTGTCATCCACAATTACCTTCAGGATTACAACTCAGAGCTCTAACCACTGACTCCAGTCAGCCTGGTGGAGGGTCTGAGTGGACCTGGAGAACAGGCTGCTTTGGATGGAGTGAAGCTGGCTACTGCGGCAGCCGTGAGACCAGCAAGAGCAGGCCCCAGAACCCGTCTGCAGTCCCAGCAGCCCTTTCTCTGGGCACAAGCAGGTGCTACACATATTCCACTTAACCTTCTTCTGCCACAGGGCAGCCCCCCAAAGGCCCTTTTCTGAAAAGAAATCAAGCTGCTTCATACAAAGATAATCAAAGAATGCCCCGATTACGAGGAACAACAATAAATGAAACATTTTTAAAAAATTATACAAAAGGGCCTGACTAGAAAGGAAAGAAAAAAGACTTGAAGGGAGGTCAGTGAGAGAAACAATAAGGAGGAAGGAAATCAACATTCACGGAGCAGGACGAAGTACACAAAGACACCAAACACCAGAGAACATGGATCCTTCCAGGAGAGGTGGGTGGAAGGGGAGAAGGAAGGGGAACCAGGAAAGAGGACGCTCGGCGTCTGACTTTCAGGCACTTGGCACGGCAGCCAGCACATAATCTGAGATCAGTAGGTACAAACCTCTGGAGCAAGGCCCCGCTCCCCCAAACATGGCTTGAGCACCCCTCAAAGTCTGGGAAGCTGCAGACAGTGGGGGTTCCCAGAATGCACAACCAGGGTGCCCTCAGGCGTAGGGGGTTGGGGTACAGGGGATGCGAAGCTGGTGGGAATTTAAGCTTAGACCAGAAGCCCTCAAATTCAGAGATGGGAGGGTAGGACCAAGGCAGGGAGAGAAAGAACAGAGGTGATGCCCCAAAGGAAGGGGTCCTAACGCGGTGGAAAAAACTACTAAGTTAAGAGAGTACAACCAGCTATTAGAGACCTAGGGGTGTTCTCTGCCTCAGTCCCACTTTCTCGTGGTGGTCAGGGATGAAGGCAGCCAGCTGACAAGTGTTCAAGTCATCCCCACCGTGTGCAAGGCACTGTGACGGAACGCATGGTCGTTCATCCTGTACAACAGGGCACATGCAGGGGCACACAGTAGGTGCTCAATGAGTGCACGCTGGACTGACTACAGAAAAATCAGCCTTGCAAGATGACCCACTTGTCTGAGGCCAGGAACAACTGATGTCTGGCCAGGTCTAAAGATGTGCTCAGTGTGATAGTATCGGCCCCTTGCCCAGGGAGAGGCCCAACTAGTAAATGGCTAGTTTTTTTTTTTTTAAAGAGCTGGCCATGGTATCTGACAAGGTTGGATTACACAAATCAAACTCTGTTTCATCCCACATGGCCTCTGCCCTGAGCACGAAGAGTGTTCCCCGCCCTCCCCAGATAAAAATCTCCCTCTGCCTTTCCCCCTTCGGATCCAATTCATACCCTCTGGGGGCTTTATGTGTAACCAGTGTTCCAGATGCTCCAGCAAGAGCTAATTCACCTCAAAGAATTAAAGGAGCAAGGCGACGCTGTGACCCTGCCTTAAAAGAACCCTGCAAATTTATCAGACAGCCATTTATAACATCTCATACTTAGAACGCAGTGCTTGCCTATCTTCCCGTCTGCTCCTCACAAAGATCTGGGACAGAGGAAGGGCAGGTATTATCAATTCCATTTTATAGATGGGGAAGCAAAGGCTCAGAAAAGTTACCCCAAGCAAGTTAGTTGGGAGGGGTGTTATTTGGACCCCTGACTTCTGACTCCAGAGGTATGTTCTTTCACTAAA